TAATCCATATAAGAAAATAAACTTGCATACACAAAATCCAGATTATCTTTCCTTCCTAAAGATGTAATTCCTGCTCTCCCTACATTTAGCAGCAGTGTTAAAGCCTTCTGAGTACTTCCCTCAAGGTGGCTTTGGTCACACTGCAGCCATTCTTGCATTTTCTTCACATCAAATTCTCCAAAGGAAAGAAACTAATGTACCCTCTAAATAATGATCTTTTGTTTCTCTACTTACTGAAAATGGAGGGGAGCCTCCTTTTCCTCTCTTCTTTTTAAGTAGTATTCTATGATAGTTAAGTGGTAATGTTGTCTCTAAGATATCACTCCAAACCCTGGCAGCACTGCTAATGGCATCTTTCAGATTCAATGACTTACACAAACAATGTCGTTCTCTTCTGTCAACAACAATTAGCAATGCTTTTCTGTAGTTCTTTTGGGAAGTCTGAAAAGCAGACAACCAGTAGCTACATAATGGAAGTTGCATTAGGAGGCAAGAATGTGGCAAAAATCTGGTTAACTGTTGTCGGCTGACCCTCTTGTGTGAAGAAGTGTTGTTTGGCAGCAAAATCACCTTTTCTTTCGGTTCTAAAAATGGCCATGAACAGCTGGTATAAACTGTGTGCAGAATGGATTCTGGTGGGCTTAGGGGATTGGTAATGGGATAAGAGACCTTTCACCTTTGGGTCAGTAGTTCAAATCCAGCCCAGGTTAGCAGCAATTGAAAGTCTTTACCATCTGACACTGTTCGTTAGCCTATTGAAAATGACTGAAGCGAAGTGTCACAGTAAAACAAGATGCCAGTATTAAGAAATATGAAGAGCCTCAGCAAACAGCAGACACAGTCACTTGAGACTTTGCTTTGAAACCCCGCCATTCAGACTCTGTAGAAATCCACTCCTCTGGCTCCTGACAGCCCTTTTCACTGCTCCCACACCCCTGCCCACCTACCACCACTCATCCTCCGGGCAGCGAGGCCGCCACTTGCCGTCCCGCGGGTCTGCCGCGGACACCGGTCACCACCTCTGTGGTTTCAGCCAGCCAGCCACGCTCGGCTCATCGCTGGGGTCTCTGTGTCACTGCCACTCTTCACACACTGCACCTGCCGTAGGTTCCAGCACTTCTCTCCCTTCCCTGAGCAAACGTGTAGCAGGTGCTGCCTCAGGATGTACAACAGAATAGTTCTGGAGGTGTTAAAAAAAATGAGTAGACATAGCACTTGAGGCTGTGGTCTAGTGGTTAGGGAGATGTTGGGATGGAGGTTGGACTTGATGATGATACACAACATCATGTATTCTATGATACACAACATTACAGCCTGTTAGAATGAGGAGTTCATAAGCAGTAGAGCTCCAGACAATCACCAGCAGGATTTCTACATGCTTCCACACATTTCCCACCCATGTTTTTCATACTTTTCTGAGCAGACAAAGTGACGAAAAGTGAGATAGAAAGAAACGCGTCGCAAGTAAAAGTTCTCCCTCTGTCTTTTACCTCAGACACAGCCCGCCTTGTACAAAGTCAAAGCTTTGGAATATAATGTTTTCCAGTGGTCAGTGAAATCTGATGAAAACACTGACAGTTATAAAAATCTTAACACTGGGTAACGTTTTGTGGATCTATGGAAGTTTACTTACATGTGCCTTACACCTTAGAATAAAGTTACTTTAAAACAACTTGAAAACATTTACATAAAATAAATATTCTCACCACAGTTGACTGTAAAATAAAAGCATACAGATATGTCATTTGCTTTCAATAAATCTCTGACAAATACATCAGAGTATTCCACAAAATAAACTTTTATTCCCGGAAAAGCTACGACAAAAAATAGTCAAACTGTCACATGAGAAGAACACACTACTATTCAAATCACCATATTTCTCAACCCCACCATGCTGGATACAGTCCACACATGATTTTTCCAATCAGAGTAAGCAGATTGGGTCATTTTGAGAAGAGGAAGGGCGTGCTCGCTTGTAATTTAAAATCAGACACTGCGTGAGGGAGGCAGGTTAGGAGCAGACCTGGGACACAGGCGTACCAACTCTACTCAGGGTACATACTCTCTTTATGCTGCTTGTTGCACTTCTCTCAGTTCTCCTTGAGCCAGCACAAGATGCTTCTCATTTCAAGGTACTACAAGCTTCTACAATGGGGTATTTTCCCTTTGCCATCATCAGTTGGTTCATATGTAAGAAGCTTAGCCACACGGCACAAACATTTCAACAGATACTTTATTTACTGACTGTAAACTCTATTCAAACAGAGTCAAAGTGGAACATTTGGACTAGATGACCTTTAAATGTCCCTTCCAACCCACACCATTCTATGATTTCCAATCTCCAGTAAAAAGCACAAGAAACTTTACTGGTGAGAGCGAGCACTTCTGATGGTAGTGTGATAAGGAGATTTTGACACTACTTGGAAATTAAATAGGCTATCAATCTAATAAATGAAACTTTTCATTGATTTCAGAGGTCTTGTTTGGCTGTTTTGGACTATGACTTTGATTAGGCTGATGACAACTAGGTAACACAAAGCACAACACAGGGCAAGTAGCCATAAAGAATCAAATATTCAACATCTGCTCTGCCTCAACAATACTAACAGTGGTAGCTGAATGAAAACCACTTCAGAAGTACCCTAAATGATAAAGTACCTAAAGTCTATTGTAGCTGCTAGGGCAGACATTCCTACGTTTTCTTGTGAAAAGCAAGAACAACTGGTTTTGCTATGGAATTATCCAGTCTTGTGTCTCATACTTATTGGCTACCCTCTGAAAGATGGCAGAGCAGCAGATACCACAAAAAGAACACTGCCAACAGCAAAGAATAAATCACTGTAGTTGAATCACTAGGGACTGAAACATCTGTAACAGATTTGTGTCGCATACAAGAGACACAATGAAGCTGATTCACCAACATTTTCCACTTTCCAGCCTCAGATTGTATTGCAGCAACACTTAACACAAAAATTAAATAAAATATAAACTTCCTGTAAGATGCTACTTATATTTTTTTGCAGAACTATATAGCAGAAAAGGTATACTCCCAAAGAGTTTCCAAAAAAACAGCCAAATAATAATACAACTCTCTATTACTGCAAAACAATTTACAAAAAGCACTATCTGATATTTGACAGACACACCAAAGTGAAGGAGAGGAGAAATCAGCAGAAAGTGTAAAATACTGGACACGGTTTAGTCAGCTTTACATGAATATATTCTGAAGTCTGGATCTAAAGTAAAAAGGCTACAGTGACCCCATTAGAGATTGCTGAATTTTTGAAACAGACACAGGAGACTGCATAACTCAGACATGCTCTGATGATGCCAACAGGTAGCTGTGCCTGTAATGGACACTAACAAAGACCTTAGGAGCATCATTTATGGATCAGATGTCCATCATTGAGCAAAGTTCTTTCAGCTGTGGCGTGTTGAGCAAAAATAGGGCAAGTATCCCTGTTAGCCACGGGTCACAGTTAGGAGATGCAAAAGGAAAGTGCTGAAGCAACACAAGGACATCTGGAGACTCTTCTGGTTCTGAAGTTAAATCTGGACAAACTTCAATAGAGTTTCTATGTTTGTCTCTGAATAGAAGGGAGCAAGAACACGAAGCTAGTTGCATAACTGTTAACTGAGCAGAAAGTGAAGCTTGAGACCTGGGAGAAGTGACAGATGAATAGGGTAAGCCTGAGGAAGAATCAGAGAAAATTACTACTCCCCAGCCTCAAGCTGAAACACTAATTAAAGACAATACACAGCCAGGATAGAGGAATTAGAATATATCTACACAAGTACTGTAATTTAAGATTAGTAAATTTCTTTAGTAAGGGTTGGAAAGAATGAGTCTGCTATTACAGGGGATTGTCAAACTGCTTAAGCTGTATTTCAAAAGGAGTCTTTAAAGATGGAATTGTGAAAGCTTTCTAACTGCATAGGTGGAGACCTCTACAATTAGGTATTGTGGGATGAAGACACCACAAAACAGCAAAGATAACAATAAAAATAAATCACAAAAATAATCATCTCCAAGGATACCCCACAGCCAATTCCAGTTAGGAACTGACTACAGCAAGGAAATGGTTTTGAACTTCTGGTGGGTTATGCAGAAAACCATAAATTAACTTTTTTCTACGTAAGCAAGTACTTTGGAAAGTCACTAATAAAATGTTCCTTTAAAAACTACAAGATTGGGAAAAGTATAAAGAATATGACCAAAGAGACAAAAATTCTTCATAATATTTTAATGAACTATACATTGCCATTACCTACCATCCCCTCTCACTGAATTTAAGGTAGACCAGATTGTGCCTAGCAAACTCCTAGCTAAAGGAGAATGGTTCATCTTTGAGAATCATATCCAGAGTTCAAGTTATGTGCCTGTTTTCTTAGATTATAGGCAGAAGGGGTTTTCCATAAAACACTGTTTGCCCTTTCGTATGCAACGCACACTATAAGATCTACTACTGACTACATGAGTCCTTACAAAAATCCTACACCATGTCAGCATGGTTTTTACACAGTTGCATTCCAGTCACAATTTGAATCATATGCAGATTGCTAGGGGTTTTATTGCCAATATACACATATAGTTTTAATCACCCTCCTAGAGAAAACTCAGCAAGCAATCATCAAAGTATAAAAAATAAAAAAGAAACTTCAGGGACCAGTGGGGAAAAGCATCAGAGCACAGTGGCTACCCACTTAATGTGAACTCACAGTGGCACTTAGCAGTGACCTCTTGCAAGGTCTTTAGGTCAAGTGTAACAAAGAGCAAAAGCTCCAAACGCTCACTTGAGTGCTGTGCAAGGGCTCACTGCTGCACAGCCTTGTACAGGCAGCCTTGTTTCAGTGAGCAGACCTTCAGTGGTAAGCGCTCGACATGTGCCAGGTTAGTTATGTTTAAGTCTTTGCAGGAGCAGACCCCTCAGTATAGAAGGAGGTTATGTTCTGTTTTTTTAAATAACACTTTTCTGAATCTGAAGAGCTGTTTTTCTTACCTGAAGTCTAGTATTCATTTCCAAGAAGTAGAAATTCTTACTGGAGTCCACAAGGAATTCTACTGTTCCAGCAGAGGAATATTTTACTGCTTTGGCAAGAGCTACTGCTTGTTCCCCCATTGCTCTTCGAGTTTCAGGGTCTAGAAAAGTGCTACAATATATAAACAATGTCTTTCTTTAGTTAAAAAAAAAATTAATGCAATCATTTCATCTTCTGCTTAAACTACCACCAAAAGACAGCATCATTATTCAAATTATGAAAACAAGACTATCAAGACATTTACATTGCTCCTAAAGAGATCTACTGCAAGCTCTGCAATTACTGTTCATGTACAGGAAACTCAGGATAAATAACACTATTCTCTAAACTATAAACCAACCGAACACAACTTTTAGAACACTGAAATCTATAACAATGCAAGTTAAATGAAAACAAATACATACAAATCCATGATATTTTAGAAGGCATATCTACTTGCAAAAAAAATAACTAAAAAACCCATCCACTTGAAACAGGAATGAATAGGAGAGAGGAGGTCAAAGTGGAATTTGTTTTCTGACTCTGAATTAAGACAGCGCGGCCGTTTCATTAATATCCCACCCAATAAAGAAGTTTTGGATATTAATGGTATATTTATTCAGGCTTCTTATGCAAGTAAGGTTGCAATGAAGAAAAACTGAGGTTTCATAATATTTAACTGAAACAGTCAACATTATCATGCCTTAAACCTTCATATCTTCTATTTCCTCTCAGCTTTACTCATAAACTGAAGACTTGTAATCCACGTTGGTCAATCACAATTCATCTCTTTCCACAAATCCTGGAAATGCCTAAGAGCACCCAAGGAGCAGCTCAGCGACCAGCTTGGGAGCCCCTCTGAACACTTGCCCACATGCCAAGCCTTCTCATTCTCCGAGAGCAATGTGCCACTTCCACTAGTCCAGTGAATCAAAAGACTCAGGAAGGTATGTATTCTGCTTGTTACTCTCCTCTGTAGTGCAAATTCAGACTGAGATTAACCTATATGGACTTAATTTAGAGATAGAAAAATTTCTGTGGGTTTCCATCAAAGCTGTGAAACTGGTTGCTCCTCACCCTGGTACACTGACCTTCAATGAAACACTGTTCATCTCGCATAAACTTATGAGCATGCTTATCATTATATTTCTGTGGTGAACTCACCTATCAATTTAGAAGTACTTTTGTAAGAGAATAGAAAGTCACTTCTGCCTTACCTCGAAGCTGCTGTTTAAAACTAAAATACCAAATGTTATGTATTTCTTGAGGTGACTTTAATAGTGGGTCCTAATTCTGCAAAAGAGCAATCAGGAGCATTCACATATCTCAGGTGGCCACATCAAAGTCAGGGAAGCTCCATGTGGGGCCCAGTGCTGCACTCAGAAGCCAATGCTGGGTCAGGACTGATCTTTCAGTACACACTATGATGTTTCTCACCGAGACCTGAACTCACAGAACTTCTGTGACAACAAGCCATATTTAACATGTCACAAAGTGAGGAAATATCTAGGCAAATTGGGAGACAATGGAAGTCTTTTCTTCACAGGAAAAGTGCTACTTAGCACCTCCAACCTTCCAGAGCCCACATGTGCAGATTCTGATGGATGGTAGAGCAGGCATTTTCAGAATTTAGGACAAAATGCCTTTCTTGGCAAACAACAGGATAAGCAGGAAAAAGAAGTTAAGCCTGATCCTGAGAAAGCTATCAAATCCTACACCAGACCAAATGGAGTAACAGATGTGCCAAACTGCATCGTACTATCAAAAATAGACACTAGTAGTGTAGAAAAGCTTCACAATATTGCTTATTTTGATTCAGTAAGAGTACAATACTGTAAACAAAATCAACAATCTGTAATTCAGGTCAGGCTTTCTGCAGGACTTTGATCATGAAAGGTCAATGAGTGGCTTATGAAGAGCTAAACCTTTTCAATATTGGCTCCATATTCTATTTCTAGAACAACCATTATTACTTCTCATACGGATGAAAGACAGTTACTCCCCTTTATTACAGTGGTCTCTTCCCTATGTTTCTTAAATGTAGGTCTGAGATCTCTCTGTTCACCTCCTGCTGTAGCCAAAGAATGGAACAGAGGTGTCACACTGCTAAACTTGATCTCTGCCACATGGTTAAGCTTTACGCTCTAAAACGACTGGATCATCCCTGCAGTCAGATAGGTTAATTAACCAAAGTTTTCCTATTCCACTCTCCTGCTTTACCTTTCATACACATTGTTTCTCCCTTCTTTAACAATGCAGCTTTTACAACTGAAATAACTCTTCTCCAACCTAATTAGGCATGACTTGAAAACACAGCATTTCAAACCTGACTTCAAATCTTTTTCTCACACTTATATCTGTTTTTCTTTTGACCAAATAGCTCCTACGGCAGCATGAAGGCTGCAAAATAAAAAGGATTCACAAGATAAAAGCACCAAAAAGTAAAAATAAGATCAGACTTGACATTTCTCTCATAAGACCTTCTTCAAGCTATTGTAAAGTTCATCAAAGACAACGCAATTGGTTTGTGCCTTTGTTTCTGCAGGCAGAGATGAACCATATGGGCAAGATGTTACCTTCCCACTCCTAGTTCATCAGATAATGTTTCCAAAAATATCTTCACCACCTTCACTCAGGAAAGGTTGAGCCAAATAAACACAAAAAAGTCATAAAGAACATTTACCCTTGCTCTGAGGATACCACTAGACGGAGAGAGGACAGTACCTTCATTTTCTAAATGCAGCTTACCTGCTTTTAGGAAATAGTTAGGCAACATGTTTGTTTAAAACAGTTACTTACCTACCAAAAACATTCTCCATTGAGTTATCTATTATGTACTACCACACCACAGGCATAAATATGCTGAAGTATTTGAGAACACATCTAAACTGTGGCCACCTATGAATCACGTACACGGTCACAAACAGAACAGGCTCACTCCTTCTTGTAACTCCAAATCCTTCAAGGAATTCTAAACAGTGATAGGAAATGTAGAGTCTGATACATGTACACGTAGAACAGCTCTAAGAGGAACTTGTACACAGAGCCTGGTTCAATAACACACCTTTCTGCTAAGTTCTTGCCTATAAACATTCATTCAAACTGTCAGTCACTTCAAGCAGCACCTTGGCAGTTAATCTGGAATATGATCCTGAAGCACCTGGCATCATACTGAGATCTTACTGAGCTTAATGCTTAGTGAAAGTGAAAGAAGTTGCTGTCCATGCACCTTCCAAGGACAGAAGCACTCCTGAGAGAAACTAGCAATGGAGCATGCAGAAAAGGTCACAAAAATAGTTTAACTGTCTCACTGGCATTCTAATGTAGTCACTTACTGGTATGACAGCCTCCTTTTTAAACCTACTGCCTTTTAAATCTTTCTGTCACAGGCAGAAATAGAAAGAAACATTTTTGTCCTTCGAACTGAAAGAACATCTTTCAATTTAAAAAGACACCGCAAAACTAACGTCTAGGACAGGTAAGTGAATCTCACCTCTGAATGTATGCAGCTAGGAAGAAAAAAATAAACAAATTATTTCCTGCCTGAGATGAAACCCAGGGAAATTTGGGGAAACTGTTGAGAGACTGTCCTAAGAATCACCTTATTCTGCACATCTTGGATGCTAAGGTTTAACCCAAAGGACATGGAATCACTGGAGAAAAGTAGAGACAACCAAGGAGAAGAAAGCAGGCAGTCAGCTAAGGACTTGCTTGCTGCGGATACTCTTGCACACTACTGCAAACACAGCATCAGGGCATGTTCCATCATTACTTGTCCAGGAAAGGCCTGAAAATGTGGAGGGAAGGTTTAACACCCCCTGTTCTGAAGCTCAGCATTTTGAGAAAGAGACCACACCTCAAATATGGTGTGCAGTTTTGGGTCCCTTACTGCAAGACAGACATTGAGATGCTGCAGCGTGCCCAAAGAAGGGCTACAAATCTAGCGAAGCATCTAGAGAACAAGTCTTATGAGAAACAGCTGAGTGAACTGGGGTCGTTTAGCCTGGAGAAAAGAAGGCTCAGGGGAGACCTTACCACTGTCTACAACTACCTGAAAGGAGGCAGTATTGAGGTGGGCATCCACATGTAACAAAAGATGGGACAAGAAGAAATGGCCTCAGGTTGTGCCAGAGGAGACCTGACATTATGAAAAATTTCTTCATCTACAGGTTTGTCAAGAACTGGACTAGGCTGCCCAGGGAAGCAGTTGAGTCTCCATCCCTGGGAGTATTTAAAAGATATGTAGAAGTGGTGCTAAGGGACACAATTTCATGGTGGACTTGGCAGTGTTGGCTTTACAGTTGGCCTTGATGATCTGAAAGGTTTTTTCCAATCTAAATGATTCTATGATTCTAAAGGGTATTCCATGGAGGATCCAATGCTTACTGTCTTTGCTACAGCAAAGGACAGTGCTGGATGACCATGGTGAGATGAATGGCCTTTGCATAACACTTCTCCATAACAACATTCCAAAAATCTTAACTTTGGGCAGCAAATATTACAGATAGTCAAGTGCTTCTGAACAGCTGGATACTCCTTTATCAAAGTGGTGAGGCAAAAGTTAAATTACTTTAAAAAGTTTCTAACAAGTTCTGAATAGGACAGTCCCTCTCACCAAAGTGAAGATAAAGAGCACTCCTTTGACCTCCAGTTATTGATTAGGAAATCAACCAAGACTCCTGTATATTTACTTTCCATTGATCTGTTTACCAGATTGATCCTAAAGGATCAATGGATTTTCTGATAAGCTTATGGGACTTATTTCTCCACATGGGGAAGAGTCTCTTAACCACACTAGTAGACAGGAGAACATAACCACACCTTCACATTTTTTCTTGCCAAAGTACGCTGTCTCATGGCAACTGCCTCTGAAAATGAACAGAGAAGAGTTTGGGCAGAGAAGAAACAAACACTTAACTAAGGAAAATCAACAGACTATAGAATGTTACTCATCTGTTTAAATTTCAGTCTGTGGTGAAATGAGAAGCCAATAGCATCTGCCAAAAAGCTGCGAAGCTAGAAGCAAAGAAAATTACTGTAAACCAATGGAAATTTTGCATAGCAGTAACTTTGACCAGCACTAACTTAAAAACTGGTAATCATCAGATGTGTCTTGCCTGTGTTTCTCAGAACAGAGAGAGCAGGACAACTGACTCTGTTAAAAGGGTATACGCAAAGTTTGTTCATCTCCTGTTTGAAACGGGAGTATTGACCACATGAACACTAGTGCTCCCTTGAATACTTCAGCAGGTCACGAACTAAAGAGCTTTCTCTCCTCAAAAGAGTTTGGTTTGTGTTTTTTCAATTCAAGAGATTTCCCTATGAAAACTGGAGATTCAAACACAAAATGATCCTACAAGGACAAATTCAACAGCTGTAGATTTAGTTTTAAGAAAATCATACAGATTATTCTCAAAACCAAAAGGCCCTCAACAACCTCTTAAACTAGATACTCAGAAAACACTGTCATAGGAAAAAAAGTAAATCAAAAGCAGCTTGAGAAGGGGTCAGAGTCAAAAGTCCTAAGCCGTACAAAAGACAGATAAACATTTTAGCCCATAGCATGACTATCTCTCGGACTTCATATAAGAAAGAAAGGGGGAGGGGGGAGGGAGGCAGGCAAGCAGCTTCAGCCTATCTCAGAGCTCTTAACGGCAGCTACCATCTCAAATCGGAGGAAAAAAGGACAGTGTATTTCCTCCATACAGCCATACAAGGAAAGGTGTTAGCAGGAGTCACAAATCAATGAGCTAAGTAAAACAGCACTCGTAGTAAGCTAGCTTCACGTGTTGGGGCCTCTGCAGTGCCACAGAGTTAGTGCCCTGCTTCTCAGCAACAGACTGGTAACCCTTTGTCAATAAATGGCTTCTGCAGCCAACTGCTAGTGGCCGTAAAACAGATAAGGATTTCAAAGCCATCAGTGAAAGTCTGGCAAAGTCTAAAACATTGAACAAGAAGGAGGAAGAGGACTTTTCACCCCAAATTTTGGAAGCTATCTACTTGCCCCCAGTCTTTCATAGAGCAATAGGAGAGGATGAAAAAACTAACTGGCAACTCCAACGGAGAAGCCCAAGAAAGTTAAAAGGCTGGTATTTTTGATGAAAGAAAACATCTGCTCACAGCTGGGTGGTGAGAGAAAGACTCATCACTCCCTTTATCTGACCACAGGCATGCAGAATGAGCAGGCAGAAGTGGCAGGCAGCGCCTTGCATCTACTCCTGAGGCAAAAGACTGTCCTCCCTTAAGTGCTTAGGTATACACATAGATGCATATGCATATTATATCAGGACTGGAAGCATTCACATGTCATAAACAAAAACACAATAAGATCTTTGGGTATAAGGCTTCTAAGAAATCCAAAATCCCAGAAGCAATAAGAATTATTTAAGCGTTTATTACTAGGTTTGTATCCTTCAATTTAAGCTTTGTTTTATTAATTTAAAATCTAGGTCATAAATAGTGCCAGTCCCAAAATAATGATCCAATGTTAACTTACATGCTGCCTCTAACTAAACAACATTTGAATGATGTGCTGTTCCTTACATCCTAAATTGTTGCACCATATAGTTCTTTGCTATATAACAATGTCAAACGCATCCCAGCTGGTGAACACATGACTGGGAATTCCCATGGGTAGTAATATACCTATATCTGCTTTTTTTCCTCAAATCAGAACTTCCTTCTACCCTCTACTCTACATATATTCTCTGACGAATGCCATGCAACATAAAACAGATCAAGACCGTAGCTTGCACAGCAACAATGTATTTCAACTCCATTTGTAGTCAGTGGAATTAAGATCATTTAGTACTTCTGAGTTACTGGAAACCAACATCTACAGTTCACTACCATGAGAGGTACTGAAAGTGGCACTCACTATTTAGTACTTCATGTTCCATTTCAAATACAAATAAATAGTATTATGTGGACCTCTCACAATTACTATAACAGCCAAATATCTCTATCTGTGGTAAAATAAATACTTATTCCATATTTTATTTTAATCTTAAATCCAAAAGTTGAATAGTAAAGAAAAGGCAACTCTCAGCTGTACTAAGAAACCCATCTCATGTATCACATACATTTGATTGGTAAGATCCATGTCCATTTCATACAAGATCATGAAAAAAAAAAAATAACACCCCAACACCTCTTTTCTTCCTACAGAAAGACATCATGAAACAAGATCAAAACACCCTCAAGTTCAACATCAGAACCACACTACAATCAAATAACTATAACTTAAACCTTTTTTTAATAGAAAAAAAATCTATTTGCACTTGTAGAATAAATAAAATCAGCAGCATGCCAGAAGTGCTTTCAGTAACTCTGAAGCTGCATCAGGAGTCCAGTGTACATACCTTGGTGCCTCCTCCACAACTTTTTGGTTTCTCCTTTGAATGGAGCACTCTCTTTCATTCAACCACAATGCATTACCATGTTTATCTGCCAAAACCTGAAAAAACAACACGCTGTTATTAAACAGATGTATGGAGATGACCTTTTGACATAGTACTATTATGTAGCATTCAGTTAAATTTTAAAGTATATTCTTCCAATCTAGAATAAAGGTTGGGAAAAAAATGCTCACGTAGAAAATTAATTGTATATGAAATACTAACTGAATGCTGCTTTAAATTCTGAACAGGTTTAAAGCCTCTATATAGAGGTTATATGTGGCAAACAAACATTCACTTTGAAATTTCTGAAAAATTCATAAATCAGAAATTAAAATACTGAAATTAAAAGTATATTTTCAAGCATTTAAAATTGTATTGCATAACAAAATTACTCAGAGGCATACTGTTAAGCAATAACTCGTGTCAAAGGAGAGAAAAGAATCTCAAAGGATGCCAAATTTTGCTCCTGCATTACACAAGCTTTCAGGACCAACTGCTAATGGAACTTTCTTAGTAGGCAAACCACAGCACTCTAACAAAGAGGAAAAAAATCTTCAGAAACTTTGCAATCATTTATTACATAGAATAAAATTTGCTGCTTCTTCAGTACTTTGAATAGAAATTAAAGCAGTAGTTTCAAGGAATTTCCTAAAAATCAGGTGACAACTACAGTCCTTGGCTGCAGCTCCAGTACATGGAAGTGTTAAATATACAGTCAAGTATCCAGATCCAACTGCCTCAATTACATGCTAGAAAACACACACGTTTGACAGAACAGATCTCAATTGATTCTGCCACTTCAAACTGAAAGAAAAGTAAGACAAGGAACTCTATCCCTTTATGAAATTGACTGTACAGTGAAGCCAGTTCCAGCAGCACGATACTGGATTTGAGTATTCTAGTAGACTTCTTCCAATCTTATGATGTTATACTCTACACTTATTCTTGGAACAATTTCTTTCAATGCAGACCACACCTGCTCCCTTTATTCCTTATAAAATTTTCCCTCTAATCCATTTTTTTCCATTTATCTTCCTGCTCTGATCTGCGGGAACCCCTGCCAATGTTCATGCTTCATTCTTTAATAGTGCAGTTCCACAGTGAAAACCAACAAGGTAAAGAAAGGAGACAATCCTCCTCAAATTGCACGAGCTCAACCATATCTCCTCACATTCATGACAATGAATCTGTATTATTTATTACTCCGTTTAGCACCACAGAGCAAGTCTGGTGCTAAGCAAGAGGAGTTCCTGCACCTATGGCACCAGTGTTTGCTGACGCACGAATGCTCTGGGCAGATGTGAGTGAGAAGGAGGCACTGATCTCATGAAGACAACTCACACACACCACACAGCCTCGGATCCAGAGCACTCCACACCCTAGAAGATCAGACATATCTTTTCCTCACAAATTTTGTTGCAGTCCCATAAATTTATGGAGCTTTCTAGGGAAAAAAATATCCCTCTGAAGAATCTTATAAGACAAATGACTTTGGGATTTCCTAAACTACAGAATGTCCCAGAACCCTCTACCCTGGCCAGGGGCAGGTTTAGGAGTGGCAGCACCAGGGTGCTCCAGCCAGCTACTAGATTCTGTAACAGACAACTCAGTACAAAGGAGACAAGAGGGGCTGAGGGGAAGAAAAAAAAGTGAAAAAACAGTGTCTAAAGCAACTTCCTACCTGAGTCCTAACTCATCCAATCCAGAATTAAACATCACAGAGCTCTACAGAAACTCATTTAGGAGAACCAAAAGTTTTGTTCGTTTGTTGGTTTTGTTGCTGTTGTTCTTTTTTAAACTATTGAAGCAAAGAGTAAAACAGTACCTCTGGAAAGGAGAAATCACTGTCCTGTAAGCAGAATGACTCCTGTGAGCAATCCTGTTTCACTGTTAGAAAGTCTATAAACTTTCCACAGAATTCAGCCTCACCAAAGCAAACAAACCAAAAAGTCCTGGAATATTTCAGTAAAAATGAGTTCCCGTGCTTCTCCCTTTCTGTATTTTCCTGAAGAAGATAATAAACTATTTTTCAAGCCAACTAGTAAATATTTTCTTTCACTTCAGGACATTTCTTGTACCCCACTCAGTTTCTACAACCTGGATCTTAAAAGAAATGTTTTTCCATTATCAGATAATATGGTTCAAAGACAAACAGGCAAGACCACTTACTATGAAAACGTAATTATAAATAAGCCAAACAACATCTAGTGATAGCGTTTTTCTTTCATTTTGGATCCATTGTTTTCATCATCAGAAACTAAAGATAATATTTGTTTAATAAAGCAATTATATTTCAGAATATATTTACAGAGTGTTGAAATCATCATGTCTGAAATTACATGAGATTCCAGTACAAATCTCACTGCATCTCACAGCTACAGCATTTTTTCTCTAAATATTCCTAAAAGAAAATATCCTGCTTTGTGGGATCTAATGATTATGACATTAGTATGTGCCATGTACATCTGTATGCCAAAATAAGGTATTGCAACCTCACCTACAGAACTGAGCTAAATCCTGTTTCCAGTAGTGGGATTGCTGTTTAGCCAAGCAATAGCCAGACATTCCATGTACTCTTACTTTAAACTCAGGTCCTTCATATCAGATATTTCAGGAGAATAAGACTTCAAATCGGTTCAAGCATAAAGTCTATTTGGACTCTATTTTCCTGTTAATTGTTTTAGTCTTTTCTTATGTTTTACAAAGTGATTGTTTTATAGCTAGACACAGGAAACCCCTTATTTAACAATTTTAAGTACTAATGCTTTGGAGCTATATGAGAATGTTAAAAAAAGTTCTATTTAAAAGCTACTGCTAAATTAATAAATATTTAGCATCTGGTCTCAAGTTGTTTGTATATTTAGCTGTTTGAAAATGAACCAAGGTCAACGTCCTAAAGCTGATTAGAACATGAAGTTAAAATTATATGCTACGATATTGTTAAAAGGTCCCATCAAAGTGTTTACGTAAGGAAAACACCCATCTTACACTTATCAAAACCACAAATCATTAATGCTAAAGCTATTTTGCTTAATCTAAGTGAAATGATTCAACTGTTCTTAAATACAATACTGCCTAATTGTTTTTGAGGTAGCCTTTTTGAAACTTAAACAAATCAAGACAATGTAAAATTTGTCTCCAACTCATGAAAGTTTGGAGGAATAAAATCTCATCTAATTCAGTCAAAGAGTCAGTAGGAACCTGCTGAATCTCCCAGATCTGCAAGCACTAAAAGAAATAGATCTTTAAAGTTGTACTACTTGTATACCATAAAAAAACCCAAACTACCACACACAACCAAAGACACAGGCAGCCAAAAAGTCTTAGTTGTAGCAAGACACTACAGGAAGGTGCTCTAGCTATCTGACCTCTTTCCTGAACTATCATCAATCCTAAAACTAAACATTCACCACATACTTTTCCATGAACCTTCAAAAGAGAACAGATTGGGGTTTAAATTTCAATTTTACAGGCTGTTTCTTCATTTCACACATACAGTAAGTTAGCCTGTGCATATGAAATAAATAAAAACATCAGAAGTATCAGCTTGCTGGCAGAGTAAAAACTGTTAAATATTTCTCTCTTACAAATCTTTCCACTCTATCAAATTTATTGTTGTTGTTTCATTCAATTATTGAGCTACTGTCAAAATACTTCAGGCTTCCACTGTAAAAGAGAACATGTTACCACTTAGAAAGAGTTTATATATTGGACAAAAATAAATGAAATTTCTCTTGAGGAAATGGACATGCTCCATATAGATTTTTTGTCAGGAAAGATTATTTCAAGGTTATTGAGAAACCAAATTTAAGTTGTCTGTGTATGATCAAACATCTCAAATTCTAAAATCATACTTTTGTTAAAGAGTCAGTCTGAAACAAACAAGTCTTGTTTTGCATTAGCACATCTGCTTTAATGCTAGATTAATTAAAAGATATAAACGCTCACAATCTGGAAGTTAAGGAGAATACCAGTGCCCAAAATGTGACAAACGTCCTCCTGAGTTCCCAGGGAGCATTAGATACTTCAGAACAGAACCCAAAATACTGACAAAACCACCTAGAGTTTACAAGAAAAATGTTAAGCACAGCAGGGTTGAACTCCTATATCCTCTGCTGCACTCAAGCACTGCAATCAGGATCCAGAGTTCAAGTTCCAGCCCTCAGGACAGATGCCTACAACTTTCTTCTTTTTATTTTTTTACACCTCAATGAGCCGAGCACAGTTCACCACCTTCCTGCTCAAGAAAGTTTAGAGAATAAAAACAGGAAGGCTGTATTATGCATGATAGCCATGTAGTTTGAGCAATGGCCCAAGACACAGGAAAACACAAGACTCTAGGCCTTTTTTAGCAGAGCGTTTGAAACTTTTTGAACCAGGATTAATTCATTAGTTCAAACTTTACTAAAAAATTTCACAAACAATAGCTAATAGTCGTATTAATAATAATAATACAAACCTGGATTTCGATGTGACGAGGGTTATCGATGAACTTTTCTATCAATAAGCGATCATCGCCAAAACTTGAAGCAGCTTCTTGAGCTGAAAACCTAAATCCTTCCCTTAAATGACAAAAGCAAAAAGAATAATCTATATTTAAAAAAATACATCAGGTTCTAAATTACACAAGAAAGAACGCTTATTCATTCCAGTCATCTGGTAGCACACACATCCAAAAACAATTTTATCATTTGATTCTTTAATGAGCATCTCTTTTTCCTTTCCTTTCTTACAAAGACAAAAAAAATACAATCTCAAAGCACAGAGAATTTCAGTGTGTTTAAAGCCTGGGCATTTACATAATTCATACAAATTTTTGCATGAATTTTCTTTGTTGGCATTTTCTTCCGCACAAAAAATGAACAACTTTTTAAAGCTACTGATCACAAAGTACTTGTTATATAGACGTAAAAGTGAAGCTCACCTTTATTTAACGTACACAGCCCTCAATACTCAAGAACAGTGGAATTTAGTTGCACATTAGTTAGATGAAAGAGCTGCAAATATTGCAGACCCTGTAAATTCAATCACTGAGCACAGGCTGAAGATGCAATACTTCACTTTATAGAGCATACCAGCTGTATTACTAGTTCTTCCCTCCATTAAAACATAATTGAGTGTTTTCCTGTGCGTTCCTCACACTTCCCTCTGTTTTCTCTTTTACAAATGGAATTACTCAAACAAATAAAGATTACAAGATGCCATATTTATTGACTTTATTTATTATGGCAGAAACATTGCTCCTATGGGGCATAACTGCTGATAACCTCCTGCACAGTTTTCTCAGGGTGAAACGCACCATAATGCAGGGACCCAAAGGCTCCACAGAATTTTTCTACAGGCTCTTTAACTGCCAGATTAGTCCCACTCATGCTGATCCATACAGCAACTTTGGAACAAATTTCTGTGGTACTGAAGACTGCAATGCAGCAGCCCTGGTATTTCTGCCCAGAATACAAACCACTGCACAACTAAGCTGAAGTTTCTGTGCTTTCCATCTCTTGAACCTAGTTCAATTCCACAAGCAAAACATGGACTATAAAGCTGTGGAAAATCTACATTTACAGTATATAGAAATGTGTATATTTAAATGTATTTCTTCACCTTTTTTCAGGATCGCAGAATAACGTGCTATCATTTTAAGATGATATACTCAATGTACAATCTTTCTTAAACTAATATGTAACTTCAATATATTGAATTGCTTAATAAAGTAAAAAGGGACATCAAAACTTTTGATTCTGGACACTACTTGATCTGTCCAAAAAACCAAAGTGAGGTAACAAAGAGCCATACACAGTGTTTCTTACTGAAACAGAATAGAGCTACTTCAACTCCTATATTGTTCCCTTTTGCAAATGTTTTATCCGTTTTATGCACAACTATTTTTCCTTTATTGAAGTATGTGCTAATTAGAAACCTAAACTGCAATATGTGCTAAAAAAGAAAGCCAGGTGCCTCATCATACATCTGTAAATCTTTTTAAATTACATATATAAGAACAATACTCTCAGTCACGTGTCCTGACCTTGTTTGTATCTTACAAATCTGTGCAGTTGCATTTGTTCAGCAATGAAAGTTACCACAAACACATTTCACCTTCCTTAAAGAGATCATACTAACGAAATGGAGACAGGTCTGAGTCTTTTTATGACTATTTAAAAGAAAATTAAAAAAAAAAAAAAACACACACACCATTTAGGCTAGACAAGAATTTTGTATTTGAAGCCTTATCCTTTCCCTAACCAACAGCTCCACAGAGCCTCAGAGCCAGGAAGATGCTTCCCACACAGCACAAACTGAACTCGAATGCGCGGCCAAGTCCGAAACTTTCCTGCCTATGCCAAGCCCAGCAGTGCAAGAGAACCTGGGACCCGGAAACCTGAGCTTAGTGCCCCTGTCTAGGCCCAGGTACAGTGTACACTGTAGAAGCAACATGTTGTCTACAGCCTAACTGAGCCCTGATGTTTGACAAGACAACCGTTCAGGCTGATGTACCTCACCTCTGTGAAGGCCACCATTCACACCTCTGTGCTACAACCCAAAGTACAGAGGCGCCCTGGTCAGAAGATTCCTGAAAGGGGCTCTGTGCAGACTCATATTCCAAACACTAATCACATGCCAACACAGCCGTCTTCAGAGTTTTCTGGTGTCAGCCACTTGCACTAGACCAAGGGGCAGGATGTGGGGAGGACAATTACTGTCTTTTGTCCATTAGACAATACTGGGCAACCCACACCATAGGGACATCAGCTGAGCTGGTATGTAAGGAAGGCAGCAAACAAGCAGCTAGGAGGGGCTTTAGTAGGAGATACTTTAGTAGTTTCTTATAAGGAAGAGTGCAGCAGAGACAGTTGTGACAACAGAAACGGGTGGGGAGGTGTGGAATTGGTGGCAAGCTGTTTATTCAGGCAAGATTTTCTGTTAAGATTTCTTCTTAGGTTCTCAGTAACTTTTAGTGGCAGTTTTAACTTCTTTTTTTATCATATTACACATTTGCTGCTTCTAGGTGCTTCTGTTTGCTGCTTCCCAGCTTGTAGATTGATAGACTGCTTCATGATGAAAAGGGTCCCAAACTGCCTTGCTGCAAGGATGGCTCACACCCCAAGCCAGCCACCTGAAGGCACACACAGACACCCAGCCAGGAAGCTGGAGCACTACTGACAGTGTGGCACCATGGAGTACATGCAGTGACCCCACAGCCCCCACCTGCAGGAGTACCCATCACACATCAGATGCCTTGACCCAAGCTGGGCTTACACACATGCCAGTTAGTATCTTTGTGTGCAAAGATCCACCACAACCCCTTCCAGAAACTGTGAATCTGGTTTTTGGAGAGGATAAGGTCCTCAAGTAATTCCTTTTCAAAGCTCTCAACAGACTACTTGAAGCCTCGAAGCCCAGAGGCTTATTTCACAAGTACAATTTTTATAAGCATACTGAAAACGAGAGCCTTCAGTTTCCCCACAGTCAAGAAGGAATGACATAGAAAATTCCCAGATATTCAGACACCTACCCAAGGTATGTTTTGTTGTACTTCATAATGAATTTCATGTTGCCTGTATTTGGAAAGCACTTTCAGATCACACTCCCTGGGATGCAAGCACAGAGGCTCTTCACCCCAGTTCTGCTCTTGCGTATGATCAACCACACCAAGTCAGAAGCACTTTAAGATACATACAGCAGCAGAACTCTCTCAGGCTGTGAAGAACCTACAAATCTGAATTCAGTACAAACCACTCTTCAGAAATCTGTACTTCCTTTTCAATATAATTTCAAGTGGGCATCTATTACGTGAAGAAAGGGCATCCTAAATTCTCCTTATCCAAACCAAGATGACTAGGGATTACACTGGAGTGAAGAAAGTGCTATTTTAATTTCAGATGTGGGTTGTTGGCTTGAGCTGTACACAAAATTCTGCACTAGAACTTCACGGAAATTTGGTAAAAAGCAACAGAACTGAGAGTTACGAAGGATTCATATCTAAATAAATACAACAGAAACCCTACCCAGATAAAGAGGCAAGGAGCAACATGCCTTCCACAGTCACATGCACATGAAAAGCTATTTCAACAGTGGCAAAACTGTTCTTATATTTCTAACTAGAAATACTAGCTGAAAGTTACAGTAATCTTAGCTATAGCTGGAATAGCATCATAATAAAGGATCTAACATTTTCAACATTGGGGGTATTTAAGAAATATGAAAGATAAAGCACTGGTAAGTTACCACAGCAAATAATAATTCCGTAGCAGTAGCAATTAAGTTGTTCAGATGGATCTTTCCCATTTTCAGTAGTTGTTGCCACCTCACAACACACAATACATGTAAGCCTTCTTTAAATATTATGCACAGCCAGTTGAGACAAGAAAAACTTTCAAGTGTCCTGAAATCCATATTTAGGTTTCAAACAAAATGAATTTATTTAAGCCTTTTTTCTTTTTTCCCCCAAAGAGTATCTGGAATTAATCCCACATGAGAAAGCCAAAGCAAGTTACAAATCAAAATATTATCAGCAATTCTTCACACTCATCTTGCATCTATGAACCCTGAAATACAAAAGGCCATTCAGACACTGGCTTTTCAGAGGCTGCCAATAGCTGAAAATTAGTTTATTCTTAGGATTACATGGATTTGGATGCAGCAAGATGATACGCGAGGTCAACAACTTTTAATGGGCTATTAAAACTATCAGATACGTTGTTCTGTCAGTAACAAGTTGAGTTGCCTTCAAAACAATCAGATGTCCTTCCTCAGGCATCAGATATTCTTCTTCAGACACACAAAAGAACAATATTAGTTCCATAACATAATTAATGGATGTGTACAACAAATATTTTACAACCTCATAGACACTTCAAGACAGACTCCAAGAGAAACCCAAGGGCTCTACTTTGTATGTAAATGCAAAGTAAATTTGTTTCTATCTTCGTCTCTCTTCATATCAGTTTTATTTTATTGCAACAATTATTTTGTCAACTTAATTTTGCCTCCACCTCTGCCTACCCATAAGTATCAAAATAAGCATTTCTCCTTGATACAGGACCAGTAACTAGTGTTGATCTGTGACTCAATGTAGGTGTTCTTTCTCTCAGCACCTTTTAGATATTACTCTTATAAAATGACAGTATAAAGACAAGGCTTGCATAAGTAACTTAAAGGATCATTATAAGGACACCACTGACAAAGAAGGAGCTGAATGGCACTTCAAAGACTTTCCACAGACAAGGCAAGTATGTCAAACTAATATCATTGAGTATCACTGGGTCAAAGTAATACCAAAGGTATAAATAATTCCCTAACTAGGTTCTATTGATACCAATCAGCTCTATCAAGTGACTTCCTAAACAGTAACCACAACTTTTCTCTAGAACAAATTAGCAGTCACGATTTTTAGATGCAGTTTTCCGTTTTTAAACAGTTACTTGAATTGAGCTCCTTTGCTCCTTCCTGAGCAAAACAAGAAAGGAATGCCTTCCTTTCAAGTTCAACAGATGCAATTGCTGCCTGAACAGGATCAAGGTAGTAATTTTGGATTATAAAGCACTGGGAACAAAGCACCCTTTTAAGAAAGCAGGTTATTCTAGATCTTGATTCCAATGCACAAAAACTTGTTTTCCTATTTAGATTTGAATATAAGTGGGCTATAGAGGTAGCAAGGTACAAAAAAAATCCCTTTTTTTTTTTTTTTTTTTTTAAATTTCAAATTTAACTGCCAGTCATTCATTGTTCTTTTCTCCAGTTTTTAGGTTTTGGTAAACAAAACTTTAATAGGGAATACAAAAATATGACAGGGAAATCTTGCAGGTGACTAAATCAAACTAATGAAAACTTGAGTTGTACTTTGAGTTGATTCCAGCACATGCATTCCTGTCACTCCATATGGAAAGGAAAACATTTAGTTTGTCTAATTTGGGATCAAACAGGCTTCTTGTGACAAGGCTTTGAAAAATCCCAAACACATTTTTCCTGTAGTATCAGTGCACATGGGGTTGACACCATGCTCTTCACTGCTGGAGCATCAGCAGAGAATGGACTGGAAAAAACCTTCAGAGTCAATAACAAAGCATTATGAAGTGTTCAGGATTCAGACAACCATTAAGAGACATGAAAGTGTCTGTTTAAACAAGCGTTGTTTCAAGCAGGCAAAAGCACAATAGTTTGCTGAGACTAAAATATTTTAAACACAGAAATATGCAATTTATTAGAGCACATTCTGGAAACCACATATGTGCTTCCACACATGAGTAATCAGTCTCATCAACTTTAACTGAACTAATGGCATGCATTAATGTTTGAGAATCAGGGCCAATAAATATTCTACCTAACACAGAGACAATTAATACATCAGCATTCTGAAAGGCATACGACAAAATGTTATTTACAGTCTAAATTTACAGTCTGCTATTGGACTAAAGGCAGTTGTAAGTGCTGGTTTTTTACTCAAATTAATGGACTGTGTTTTGTTAAGGTTTATGCAAAAATTAATTTTAAATAGGCACATGCGAACTCCCAACATATACTGCTCACTAGATGAAAAGGAGAAAACCAAATAATATCCAATTTCTCTGTCTAACATTTCATATCTGCTCAACTGTCAGCTCACAGTGACTTAATGGGACTTTGGTAACTGCAGCATTCATCAAGGCAAGCTTTTGGACAGCATCTCACCTGGTCTCTTCATCATCCCAAGCGATTCTCATGCCTTTCCCACCACCACCTGCTGAGGCCTTGATCATGACAGGGTAGCCTAACAGCGGGGAACAATTAGACAGAAGTTCAAACTTTGTTCAGTTGGTAAGAGGAACATGACAACTGACCACATGTCCAATAATGCCAGTAGACAATAACTTCGTTTATTAAAACACTTTGTTTGGAGGGAGAAGAGAGATTTTTCTTTTCAAGACTTAGCTGTCAGTGCAGTGATTTCTGAAGCCAAGAAAGGTTGTCTTCTCCAATTCATTTATACCAAAAAAAAGCATTGAATGAATTATTCCCAAGTAACAAAGTGATTTATGAATAAAGGCATTTGACCTTTTCAAGCTCACATTTCTTTAGGAACAAAATTTTGTTCCTTTGTTACTGCTGAAATAAGCTGTAGCTGTGACATTTTTTCAAAAAGTTAGTAGTGAAAATAAGCAGGAGATGTTCATAAACTATTAGTCAAGAGATTCAGTATGTAAACCTGTATCTCATGAACACTTCTGGTACTGTACATTTTAAACAACAGGGCGCCTCAAGAGCTGTGCTACTCAAATCTTATGGAATAGTATCACAGAAAGCAGATTTTTATATTTTTTATGTTACAAAAAAAATTTTCCCCAAACTGACAAGTAGTAAGAAAGAAAATGAGCTGCATAAATCTGAATCAATTTTTTAAAAGCTAGTACTAACTAAAACCATGTCAAAAGAAACATGATAAAAACATGTTTTTCTCCCCTTCAGTTTTGTGTAAACTTTCATTTACTTTAACTGCCTAAACTTCATAGTTATATCATTCTTTCAAACTGAAGAGTAAGACTTTATGGAGTTTCATTGAAGCTTCAGAGAAGAAGTCATCAGTTCTTAGTATACAGCTTGCAAACAGACTTAAAACTAGCATGGGAAAAGAGCCAGTGTGATTAAACACTACAGAAAGGATCGCAAGAGAACAGCCCACACAGACATGTAGGGCAGACTACAGAAAGGAGCCTATACAGTACTTTGTGCCTGAACTTCTTCCAGTTCTTGAGTTAGCCCAATATCTCTGTCAGATTGTCTCTTGACAGCTTGGGAGAGCATATTTCAAATGAAGGGCAAAAGGTAGGTTTTAATCCCATACTTACAAAATTTGTAAATAATAGGCACTGAAACAGGTAAACACAGTGTCTCAACCCTGAAGTGCCAAACTCCACTATTACTGGATCTTTGGCCAGAACACAGCAGGGAGAAGCAGAGACAAACAGAAGCAGTAAGAGAACATCGCACAATGTTTTAGAGTTTTAAGCACTGAACTACAATGAATTGTTTTTAAATAATTACTTAAGCATTCTTGGAAGACTGAGGCTCTGTATAAGTGAAATCAAAGTAATCTGAAAGTATTCAATTGCATATTGAGTGCCTCACATATGAGGTCAAAACCATTACATACATAAGAGTCTTTAATTTTATTTTAGATCCTTTGAAATTATAAATCATCAGGTGACCACTGATCAGTGGTCTTTATTAGACAAAAAACTTAACCAAACTGTTAACTGATCAAAACACAGGTGAAGAAAAATCTAGAAAGGATATTTTTCTTTCACTATATGGCGTATTACAAACCTTTTCTGTACCAGAATGGTTTAAGAATTTGCCATCTAGATAAAGCACCACCCAGTTGTCTGCAATTGACTTTAATATCTACAGATTTATGACTGACTTGACACAATGACCTCCAAAGCACTACCAATATAAAAGATGAGAATCAATCAAAAGAACACCAGAACTCTGAAGAAAATTAAGAAAGAATACATTTTAAGAGGTATCTAGGTAGCCACTGATCGCCTTCCAACTTACACTAATCAAAACAGCTTTAAAAATACGTGCAGGAAATCTTGGAAAAACAAGAGCAAGAAAGACAACTGAAGTGAAACTGAAGTCATAATACTATGCCATTAAGGACTAAAACCAATTTTATCTACAGTTCTTCTCCAAATGTTCCAATTTGGTTGATAAGCTGTTCCTTTTGCTTTGTTCCCATGCAAGTGATCAGCAATCACTCGATTTCCCAACAGGGACATAAAGGCTGATGCACAGAAATGCTGACTTCAGTTGTGTTAGCCTAAAAGCCAGCCAAGCCCACAAGGAGGGGTTTCAGAGCAGTTAACCAGTGCAGGATACAAATCCCAAATTAAACTCAAAGTGGAAAGGTGTTACACTGGTGAAAAGCCATCTGCAGCAGTGCAAGTCCCAGTTTCTATTTGGAACATAAGGTACAGCCACAGCTTTTGACACAGGTGAGATATTTGTAGCTAGATCAGTAAAAGAAACTTCAAATGCAGATACATCCTTTGAATTAAGTACTTGTGATGACCCTAAGTAGGTTCTCATGGCTACTGCCTCTTAAAATTAGCATTTCAAAAATCCCAAGAAAAATCTTATTGCACTAGATTCTTCTTCTAGAAAGCATTTAAAGAACATGTATAATTTCAAGCATATGGTTTAATATTTTCCCTAATATTAAGCTTTAGTAAATAAAAGCCAAAACTCATTAAACACATCTTACACTTAACCTTCATCAGAACGAGTCCCAGACAGTTTGCTGTTTGCTCTTTTCACCATTCTGTAAGATATTCAGAAGCTGCATAGTGACTTTACTCCAAAAAGCACAGAAGAAAAGCTGGTGCTCCGGATGATGCTCAAGCTAACTGCAGTACATAGAGATGAAGAACTGAGAACACTGCTGGCGTCAACCTCCATATAAAGAGAAATGTATCATGCCCAACTTCTGACTATCACATTCAATTGCAGATACACTTCGAAATAACTACTTTAGCAAGCTATTCATTGCTGCATATTACTTGCATTCCACAAATCATGGCTGCACTTGTTCTGTAAAGTCCAGTTCATAAAGCTAAAATATGATGATTTAAGAGACAAAGCATTAACGCCTAGATTCTTCCAGCCCTATAGGCAACAAGGAACTTAAAAACTATTAAAACATTATTTGTTCTATAGGGATTACTTATCACACATTCAATTTAGTCAACCATGTCTGCTGAGAGGCACACAAATCCCACCATAGCTAATTTAAGAACTTACCAATTTCCCTTGCAATTCTGACAGCTTCATCTGCATCCTGTAAAAGCAGGAAATGAGACCCAACGTTAATCCCATCAGCCACTGCACTGTGTCCTGAGGGCAGTCATATATTGCACTACTGTCTCCTCTGATTCATTTAATGTTTGATTTTACAACCTTCTGACCCTTTTCAGCCAGAGGAATGTAAAATTAATACCATAAGTGGAATGTAAATTCTACCTCATCATTAGTATCCAGAGAAACTCAAAGCAACGAGGAATCAGCTGACAGGAAACACAACCAGGATCACAAAATGATTTTCTGCAGTTGTAGGAATTTAATGCTAGAATTTAGGAGTTTACAATCAATAATGGACCATAAATCAGATCGTTAAAGTTTGTCCACAGCCAGCTTGGTTCTGTCCTCACAGGTATTTCTTGTGTTTTCCTGGTTGTTGTCAGTAGGGGGAGTTGATTCTCTATTGTTTGGGAGTGATTTAGGTTGAGGAAAAAAACTCGCAGAACTTTTTAAAACAATTTTTTTTTTGGTCTAATGAGGAAAGAACACAAGCATTTCAGTTCTGATAATGCTTTTCATTCTAAAGTCAGAATAAAACCTAGATGCATTACTTTAAACTGTATCCAAAATGAGAAGATTCACATGAATTAACAATTAATGTTAAATTCACGTTTAAGAGTCTGCACATTACTAGCATATGACAATTAGAAAAATCATTTTGTTGATGCTTATTGCTTCAGCTGACTCATACTACTACAGCCTGGTACAGAAAAAAACATACTAGGAGACATACAGAGAATAAACCCCAAAAGACTCAAATTGCTTACTTTTTTAAAAAACAAATCTCTTCTCCTGCAGTAGTTAATTCTGGTTTCTTCTACTGACAACAATATATTTCCATTATACAATACTAGAAAGAAAAAGGGTTAAATGACAGTGGCGCAGGTTAAGTTTGAAAATTCCATCCAAATTCAATAATATTTATACTATTCTGTGACATGCATTAAAAAATCTGTATGGAAGGCAGTAATGTCTGGCAACTGCCAGCTGCTAAGTGTGCCTGAAACTATGGGGGCTGACTTATGAACATTAAAATGAAACCTGATATTTTTAAAGCTTTCAAGGCAATCCGTTTTAAAAGCACCCAGGTCAGAACTTAAAAAAAAAAATACATAAGAAATGTTCATACCTGGTTCATTTATGTCCGATAATAAAACAAAATCCTCTTTAAAAGTCTTCAGTACCTAGTAACAGCCCCATGAAGAATAAGGGGGCTGGCAGGGGAAGTTGTCAGAAAATTTAATTTCCTTTCATTAGCTAGTCTGCTCCACAAATCGGTGCTTGTTAAGTTCAAAGCAGTCCTGAAAGCAACATCAGTTTTAAGTCTTTTTACTCCAGTCACATCTGTTAATGAGATTTTCCCAAATAACAATTGTTTCCAAGTCAAGAGATAAATCTACTAAAAAAACCTCCCCACTCAAAAAAAAAAAATATATTAAAAAAAAAATAGGGTTTACTGTTTTATTACACCTTGCTGCTTTCCATGACCCTGCACCCTCCAAATTTTAGCTTAAAGGGATAAAATGCATGAAAAGGGTCATTTAAGAATGTTAGTGGTTTCCACACATTGAGTTTGAAGTTTCTTTGTTCCTGCCTGTGACAGTTATGCGAGAATACTTCCCCTTAATAGCCTCTCTGTCAGGAAGTGTTAAACCTGCCAAATGCAGACAATTAGAGCCTCTTGAACAAAATGCAGGAAGAGTGATGACTGATGAAGAGCCACGATTATAGTCGAGAAGGAAACTTTTACATTTCTTTTCTCTTGCAAATTTACTCATATATTTGCAAAATAGAACTAAGAAGGGGGAAGCAAACAGGGTCATTTTTTTTCACTTAGTTACCTGCAAACAAGTGGCTAACTGATACGCTGCAGTCCCCAGGAAGACAAGCTGCAAATCATTCCAGGGGAGCTTTTCCCTGCCACTGTATTTTTATACATGCATACAACAACTTTACGTAACAAGTGACATCGTATCAGTTGCACTAATTGTCTCGGTTCTGGCTCGAACAGGCTGAAGTCATCTGCCCAGCACAGTTATTCATTTACACTGTTTCAACATCTGTTTCTTTTACAGTTCTAATATATTAGAACGCAAGCTCTAAGATTAAAAAAAAATAATAATCAATGCATATTTAAATTCTTTAGCCTTCAAAGAGCAGTTCTGCTTCAAAAACAAAAATATGGTGTACTTTAAAGAGAAAAAATAAACTAATAAACAAAAAATTAATAAACAACTGACATACTGAAATCTCTGTTAAGTCTTTTGATCTTTTTCCCTAAGAAAAATGTGGTTTGGTACCATGCATTTCACTTGCGGATTACATAAATGCAGCAGCTGTTTGAGTACTCAAAGATAGGATATTTTAAGGTTTTGGTGAAAAGAACTTATGATAGATACACATCATTTGCAGGGAGGAGGGGGCAAAAAACTGAGTACTATGATACTGCATAACACAGAAGTCTATAGGTGCAAAATATACAAAACCACACTGGTACTAAAAGCATTATCTTTTCTTTTTTTTTTTTTTTTTTTTTTAAGCAGAAGTCCTCAATGATTTACTGCTGTTTCCTCCAAAAACACTTTGGTTACATTACCATTTTGCCAAAATAAATGGGAGATCGTAAAGAAATATATAATTTTAGCACCATCTTTTACAGTACAAATAAAAATGTTCAAGTAATGGTACAAGTTTATAAAAAAAATTTGTAAGAGTTATAAAATGACGTCACAGCGTTTTTACAAACGGCTGATTTCATTATTTTAAAAAGAAATAAAATATTCAATTTAACACAGGAATTTCCAACTTCCCGATTTCATGCCTCTCTGCCAGGTACCAGCAGGTGGAGACAAAAAAGCAAAACTGTTCTAATGTAGAGAAATACCAAGATAAAGCCTTTTAAGACCCTCCTAGAGCTGTAAAACTTTGTATGAATTATGAAGATCTTCATAATACTTTTCATGTCTGAGGATGCTGGGCTGAGAGAACCTCCAGTTCATGTCTAGTCTCCAACAAGGCAATACGGTGATCGTTTAATACCGATATCAATACCCCAAATGGGAGAACACATCCCACACAGAGACCTGGAACCTACATACAGTATATTCGTAGCCTTGCTGAAACATTCAGCGCCTCTACTGACATCAGTGAAACTAAACAGACACCCAGAGACCTTAAACTTCCGGGTCAACATCCAGCTGTGCTCTACCAGCCATAAAATCCAACTGGCTGTACATGGTAACACAACATGAAAATCTTTCTTCTCTTGCCATTCTTTCATTCACCAGTTTTTCACCACAGCACCTCCTTACACTAATTATTGAGCCTCCACCTTCTTCTTGTCCCTTGTTCCCCTTCACTCCTTTACAGACAATACACCTTCCCAGCTCTAACCTCAGTACAGTCACCACTTACATAGATTAACAGCGATTCCTTTGATCAAGGCTATTTACCACTATCTCTCCCAATCAGGTTTTATGAAAGTAATTGTAGTTACAGATTTTGAAATTAACTACCTTTGAATGCTTTTGTTGACTCTCTAGCCAGGAGCACCAGACTCTGGTTCCTTACATGTGTAGGCTGAATAACCCTTGCAGCAGCCAACTGAGAAACTGAACGGGGATGAGAAGAAAATTACTTCATCCAACTACACTTTCCACTCTCACTCCACCTCTTCCCATTCTCAGTTTCATATTTCCTCCAGGGTTTGCCTATATGAGAGTAGTTGTTTCTGTTATGCCAAGCATCATCCTCTTCAATCCTTCCATGTCCTTATGCACATTGTTGAAGTGTTCCTTCTCTTAAATTTCTAATTTAATTTCTACTTGCCGGGAATTTTTCTACATGCAACTTCTCCAAGACGCCATTACAAACACTGTGCAACTTCAGTGTCTACTACGTGTAAGTGCTAAGCAACATAAATAAAAGGTACGTCTTCCCCTCTTATTTATGAAGGACCTGTGTATCTGCAGCACTATTTAACAAGTTCTAAAGACAACTCTTCAAGTAACAAGATTTTCAGTGCAGTCGTGACTTGAATAATGAAGCTCTAGAAGTTTATACCCTATGTTCGCTTTAACTATTCATCCACAAAGAACGCATGCAACTGATCTTTCTTAACTTCTGGCATTGTCAGAGGCATGAATGCAGTTTTATTCCAGCTTTATTAGACTCCACTATAAAAATGAAGGCACCTCTCAACAACCCAGGTATCAACCAGACAATTCCTTCCTAGGACCTTTAAAGTTTTGGGGTTTTTTCCCCAAAGAAAAAGAGCTCTCAAAGATTCTGAAAGCTTCCATGACCAAAAGAGGTATCCCACAGAATGCCTAAATTCTACAGTCTCCATTTCCTTGTGTGTTTCTATTCAGATAGTACCTGATATCACACAGCCTTGCCCTTCCTATCTTAGTCTGAATTGGCAAAACAGTACCTCAAGCTCTAACTGAAGATCAGGCATCCTGTATGACCTGACTGCTTGGTTATTCATCTAAGCAAAAGACACATGGCCACAGGAAGGAGACCAGAGGACAAACACAGCCATGCATTTAGATCCATAGTAAGGATGAGAATAGCATTTATCACAAGTTTTATTTCCTAAAACTGGTAACCAAAGCTCTGGTTAACCTAAAATTTTCATCACCCATTTCTGATGGAAGCTACAGCACTGGCAACATCTGTGGACTCTACTTTTTCTTATTTGGTGGGTACACTGCTGGGTTGGTTGTTTTTTAATCTCATGTTCTTTTTCATCAGCACTCTTCAGTTAATCAGAACTAGTGCAAGGCTGAGGTACGTGAAATTGATACGATATGGATGCTTCAGGATTAAGCAACTACTGCACAGTTACTTTCAATAGCTGAGGGTTGGAGCTGTCAACTCAACCCCATATTCCTGTTCATTTGGTGTTAAAAATATCACTGCATATAGCCAATTGCCAAACAGGTCACTTATGTTCTCTCACTTTGTGTCAGGAACTTCAGATAATTGTGAAAAAACAGTGCAATTAAAGGTCTCAGAAACAAAAGCATACACACAAGTAGCTCAGATTCACCAATTATATGTCTACCTGTTCATTAACCACTATTCCACTTTGCCAGGTTTATTTACCTCAGCATAATAACAAACCCTTAATTAAGTTTTAACTTGATAGAGTGATAAAAACAGCATTTTCATATTTGAACCTGCATTAGAAGATATTTTGTGGGCTTTAGATGATTAATTTGAAGTTATTTCCTAATTCTTTTTCTAGAAGGTATTTTCAGGATTTCTAGAAGAATATACAGAACATCAGATAGAAAAGAAGATCTTATGCACAATAGCTTAGCTACTGGTAAATCTTATAAACACTGAAGGACCACACGCAACAAAAACCTGAAGGAATGCTGCGTTCAGCTTTCCAGCAGTGCCACAAACGCCAGCCTGACCCTCACACGGAGCCCTCCAGACGAGGAACAAGCCCTTGCACTTTTCCCTGTTGCAGTGTATCCCAAGGCCAGGGATTACACACGCCGGGTGTTTCCATCACGAGTGCTGAAGAATTCCCTTGTGCACATTGATCTCTTATTTCACAGTTTTATCGTTCTCTCACTAGCCAAGTTCTCCAGGCATCCCCATCAGAACAGATGATTTTGTGGAGGCTCAGCCCCTTCGTACTAATCACCTTTCTAATTTAGTTGGGTTTGCTGTTTTTTCCTCATAACAGAGTTTAAAATTCAACTTAGCTGACGTGCTGAACTCCACTGCCCCAGTATATGTTGTTCCTTAAAATATAGTCTGCATTCCACCAATATATTCAGTTGCTCCCAATTACCTTGGCATTTCCTATTTCGTCATATAAATAAGGTTTATGACGATCAGAGGTCAATATCAATTATCATAAATAAAACCTGAAAAGCTTTCCCTTCATGACATCGAAGTGCTGTTGAAACAAAACTTCACTTTCATGCAACTCAAGGTTTTATACATTTTATTTAAAAAAAAATGTAACTTGACATGCGAAACTAAATTTCAACCCAGAAAGACAACATTTTATAGAACACCAAATTTTTAGGCATACACAAGAAAAAGTTTAAAAGGGAAAAAGATTTACCTCCACTAGCAAAGACAATATAAAGATACTCAGAAAAGCTAATAAACTAAATACTTAATCACTATAGCAGAAAATAAACCAAATCAAATACTTTATTTCACATGACAAAATATAAACAACTGAAATATTTTTAGAAGACTATTGGAAACAATTTCTACTAAAACCCCAAGAAGAACACTAGCTGTGCATTTGGACAATGAGCCACTGACTTCCCCCTTACCCTCACCCAGAGTTTTGCAGCACATGGAAGTCTACACCATCAGCAGAGACTGCAAAATGGAAACTTCATACAGTGTAACAGACTTTGTTGTTAACTTAGGGATGTTAAGGTCTTGGCCAACAGGAAGACCTCAGAAGTGTAAAGACACGTGCAGATAGTCAAATTCACACCTGTTATTTAACACATTTACCTGCCTTCATGCTAAATTTAAAGCAAAACATTTTTAGGGACTCCATAGAAGCAGTCCTTATTACGTTATTTTATGTAGGATATTCTCTTCTTCTCAAAAGCTCTCCTGCTAGTAAAAACCTGTACACCATTTTTAATTACGACTTTTTGAATAAGAAGTTTAAGTTATAATTACATTTTGCATCAGACCTTCAATAAGTGTACTTTGATTTAGACACTGTGGTTACAGTGGGCAGACAGTAATTAAATGATTTCTCACCTTGACTACTCCATCAAAGCCAGGGATCGTGTTGACCTTTGCATTCTTGGCTAACAATTTGCTTTCAATCTTGTCTCCCATAGCTTGAATAGCATGTGTGTCAGGTCCAATGAAGGTGACACCTTCTGATGCCTGCAAAGACAGTGAAGATATAAATTTAGGAGACAAAATTGAAGCCAACTTTACACAGATATTGCTATTTTTTTTTCCTCTTTTTGAACCCATTAATGAAGGAACCTTTAAAACTCTGCAATCTGTTTATGTAACAACCAGGCAATATATAAGCAGCATTTCAGCTAGTTCATTAAAAATGTGTATGACCTTGCAAAACTCTATACACACACACACACACATACACACACACACACACATATCCAAAGCCCCTATAATTACCATTTGTATAAATCAAAGCCAGGCCAAAGAAACATCACTGAGAGTGGAAGTACTCCAGCTTGAAAGTTAGAAATATCCCTGGAGAAAATAGAGGCTAGTTAACTCACCACTGAAATAGCCACCAGTGATTTACAGAGATATGCTTGCCAAACTGTGACGCAGCTGAAAATTCTATTACACATTCCCAAAACTAAACCTTGACGAAACATCAAAATAAAAGTGCAACCTCTTACTCAATGTATTTAAAGATCAAGAAAATAAGGTAATAAGTGAAAATGTTTACCAAATTATGTCAGGGAACTCTCTTTCCGATAATGATGTGGAAATAGGCTAATACAAAGTACATATATACTTCAACTTTGATACTTTAATATGTAGGTACAACACTGAACTGCATTTTTTTCTCCTCCTGTTCCTCTGTGCCAGCAACAGACTTCAGTGATCAAGTACACAGACATTTTTCCAAACCTCTCCAGGGTCAGTACTACACTAAGCTGAAGGCAGTTCTATCAAAACTGCTTCACTGAGAGTTACTGATGCATCAGTGAGCACATGCAAGTTTCAGACAACTTAACATCTTTGTACTACAGGAAACAAAAAAAAAAAAAAGAGAAAAAGCATACTAGCCTTGTGCATTTTTTTCCCAACTGTTTCATTTAATTTTTTCCCCAATTCTAAGACAGCTGTACTCAAAACAGTGTCCAGCTGATGGGCAGTCTACTTAATATCAACTAACGCAATGGCAAACGTTCAAATTCTTACAGCAGAATTTGCCTTAATATTTTGGCTTTCTGACATACACTTGTGCTGCATGTTAGGGTTGCCATATAGTTATAGTCACTAATAATAAGGAATTTGCTGAAGCTTTGTGCAATAACGTGATGGAACTACATGATCATAGAACAGACATAGGAAAACTCTTTTAAATCGGGTAACATGTCCTCCTGTTCACAATATTAGAAGAGCTAAGAGCTCCCAGCACGCTTGGGAGTCACTGTTCTCACTGCCAGTAGCTTCCTAGGAGGAAGAGGGCAATAGCAGAAGCTCTGCACAACTTCCTATCACCCTAGCACCCTCTTACAGATAAGACAGATCAGATAAGAATTACAGGCTAGGAAAGCTCAGTGCAAAGACACTTAAAGCAAATGGCAGAGCACCAGTTCAGCTATGTCAAAGGCTTGTTAGCTTTCAACTCACAATGAACCATCTACTCTGCTCTCAGGAGACCCCCACCTGGAGTACTGCATTCAGCTCTGGGGCCTCCAACACAAGAAGGACACAGACCTGCTTGAACAATTCCAGAGGAGGGCCCCAAAGATGGTCAGGAGGCTGTAGCACTGCTCTGTGAAGACACGCTGAGAGTGCTGGCGTTGCTCAGCCTGAAGAGAAGGCTCAAGGAAGACCTTACAGCAGCCTTCCAGTACTTCAAGGGGAGGGGGCTACGAGAAAGCTGGGGAGAGACTCTTTACAAGGGACTGTAGTGATAGGATGAGGGGTAATGGCTTTATACTGAAAGAGGGGAGATAGAGATTACATGCAAGGAAGAAATTCTTCACTGTGAGGGTTGTGAGGCACTGGAACTCATTGTCCAGAAAAGTTGTGGAAGCCCCACCCCTGGAAGTGTTCAAGGGCAGGTTGGATGGGGCTTTGAGCAACCTGGTCTCACAGAAGGTGTCACTGCCAATGTCAGGGGGGTTGGAACTAGATGATCTTGAAGGTCCTTTCCAACCCAAACCATTCTTCAATTCTGGAGGACACAGGAGATGATGAGAATTACAGTCATGGCATCAGCAAGCATGCACCTTTCCAGTGAAAGGCGCATAGGGAAAATCTTGCTTGAATTTGTCTCCTCTTTTGTGGCATGGACTTTTAAAGTGCTCAGTTCATTCCTGC